AGTAATTACAGATCAGTTCCAAGAAGTGTCAAAATCATAATCATACTAACCCATAATCATTATCGGGTATGATAAAATGTATGATCACAAATATATGACAGATTAGAATTGAAAGCAACCATATACACATCAACTTCAAATTTACACACTTTTCAAAATGATTACAAAATGTAAAATATGCTACAATCATCAAAGACGGGGGAAAACCTACACATAAATCTTTGACATTGGCTAAAAAGGCTATCTTCATTAAATATTAATACCAAAAGGGGAGAGACGGTTGGGTTTTGTTACATCTAGTCAAGGATGGTTTTTATGACGTATTTCCGGAGTGTGCGCACTACGCACTGATTGTCAAGTCATACCAAGTTATCAAACCTGCATGTCCGTAAAGTGTAATGTTAGAGTTATCCCCCTTTGACTACAAAGATGTGCCATAAAATTATCTATAAAGTATAAATGTACATTTACACTTTCGTGAAGTTTGGCACACTAGAAATACGAGGGGCGATCAGAAAATAAGGTATGTAATGCTATTCCATAGATTCTCTTCATGGACGATCAACATCAAATTTTAGCTCGGATAGATGTATTTCTTGCCAAGTTTAAATGATGTTCAGCCACAACATGGGTCACAAATGCTTATAAGATAAGGTTAGGGATATTTTAGAACTAAGGATACCCAGATGGGCTTAGTGGCTCATGTATCATGATCATAAGACTATTTTAATCGTTATAATAATTAATTTTTCTGGGAAATTTAAGTTAAATTGTCGAATGTAAACATTTATTTTACAGTGGCGGGAAAAAGGGTGTATCAGACAATTCCTCCGAAACAGCTGGTGAGTAAACGATTGATTCATTGCTTCTCAGTTTTTATTTTGAATTTGTCACTTTAATTGATTTTCTTTATTCTTCTTTAATTTTAGGTCCTCAAATGGAAATGAGGTATTGTAGTTGTCAGAGTAAAATATAGATATGTAGAAAGATGATTTGAAAATACTCGTATAATGGAGTTTTTAATTTATCCTTAATAGTAGTGAATATCAAAATCATTTTTAAGCGTCCAGTACGAAGAGCTGAAAAAGAATAACTTGAATCAGGAAAACAGCTATGACGTTCTCAGTTCACAAAATAGTGAGTACAATTACATCTTTAATTATACCTCTAGATATCAAGATTGAAATTCTTAAATCATTCATATTCAACATTTATTTGATTTCTTTATAATTCGTTGTGGAATTCTTATTACGATTGTATTTTTTTTTCTAGAAAACAGAACCTCTGGGTAAGTTGTCGCCTTCATTAAGACTGATGTTGATTAACAAATAATTAGCACATTGATTAATGAATTAAAGAATTAATAATTAACATCAACAACATTACAATCATGTTAGAAATTCAAAGGCTAGTCAATTTGCTTGATAATAACTCTTTTGGACAATACAGGGCCACATATGAAGATCTCCAACCTCAAAAAGAAGAAAGGAAGTATGAGGAATGTGTAGGTCATAAAGGTCTGACTGGAAAATGTTTATAACAATAATAAAAGAAAGATATATTGTTACTTTTTATACCCCACACCACTAGTTGCGTGAGGTATAATGTTTTTGACCAGTCCCTCAGAGTGTAAGTCAGAGTGTCAGAGTGTCAGTCAGTCCTTTTTTTTGTCAGCGCAACTCCTCATAAACCGCTGCACAGAATTTCGTCAAGCTTTGCAGGTATTTAGGACACAATATGTAGATGTACATATTACCAGGAAATTCCGATTCCATTATTTTTCTGGGAATTTTGGCAATTTACATTTTAGATATTTGGGGAGATCTTGAATATAGTGGTGAATAGTTTGTCAGCGCAACTCCTCATAAACTGCTGCACAGAATTTCATGAAACTTTTTTGAATTATCATTTATTTTCTTAAGTTAAATAATAAAAAATGGCTTATGAAAAAAAAAAAAAATGTGCAGAAAATCTTTTTAGGTGAGTTCTAAATAGATTTTCTGCTGTGAAATTTTGTAGGTAATTTTTGCTTATACGTATGAAAGACAAGTCAAATGGCTAACTCAACATTCATAATTCGAATTTCAAGATTCGTTATCTTAAACCAATCAAAATGCGAGATATTATACTTGTGTGTAAAAGACGAAAATAACGAACACTTATATTAATAAGTACTGGTCTGAATACGTTGAACACGGCAAGATGCAGATGGGAAAGGGTTTTCCATTTAAATTTTTAAAAGAGGCTTTTGACATCAAATTTATATGGAAGTTTTCCCCTCTTTTTAGCTATTGCTATCCGTTTTCGTCCGTCGTCGTGCGTCTTGTGTAAACATTTGAACATTTTCAGCTTCTTCTCTGAAACCATTCAACCAATTTCAACCAAATTTGGTATACAGCATATATGAATAAAGGGAAACATAAATTGTGAATTTTATGGTCCCTGCCCCCCCCCCCCCCCTTGGGGCATAAGGGGGCGGGGGGGAAATTACTAAAATTAATGAAATCATTAAAAATCTTCTTCTCTATTCCTGGACATCAAGCAGTCAAACCGTTGGTATGAATGTAATGAGCATTGCGTTCTCTACACAAATTGTGAATTTCATGGCCCCAGGGTCAGGGATTCTGGTGTAAGGGCGGGCTCTATAGATTAGATAGTGAAAATGTATTATTTCTTTGAAAATCTTCTTCTCTGCTCTTGGGTATTAAATAAACTAACTAAGTACATAGTTATAATAAGCAAGAGTGGCTCTACCAAAATTTTGAATTTTATGGCCCCAGGGTCAGGGGTTCTGGTGTTAGAGCGGGGCTCTTTTGATTATATAGTGAAACAAAATTATTCTTTGAAAATCTTCTTCTCTGCTCCGGGGTATTAAATAAACTAAGTACATAGTTATGATGAGCAAGAGTGAATCTTCCAAAATTGTGAATTTTATGGCCCTAAGGTCAGGTTGTCTGGTGTAAGGTCGGGGCTCTATTGATTATATTGCAAAAATGCATTTATTTATTTTATGGCTCCAGTGTCAGGGGTTCTGGTGTTAGGGCGGGGCTCTATTGATTATATAGTGAAAAAAAAAACATTAATTCTTTGAAAATCTTCCTCTCTGCTCCTGGGTATTAAATAAACTAAAATAGTATATAGTTATAATGAGCAAGAGTGCCTCAACCTGATTTGTAAATTTCATGGCCCATGTGTCAGGGGTTTACCCATTTTGTTTAAGTGGGGTCTTTTGATTATATGGTGAAAATACTTTAATTCTACGAAAATATTTTCCTTTGCACCTGGGTATTATGCCAAGATCTAAGTATCTATATTTATGATGAATAAAGGTGCCTCTATCAAATGGTTAATTTCATCCCCCCTGGGTCAGGGGTATGGGGGGATACATAGACTGAAAATAAATTAATGCTTTGAAATCTGCTATTTAATATTAATCAACCATTTATGATGAAATAAAATTTAGGATAAAATTTCCAAAATTTTGAAATAAGTGGCCCCAGGGTCAGTGGTTCCTTTTGGGTGGGGTGCACAACTGGTTTTAAGTTGGAAGTGCATTTTTTTCTTTGTTACTCTGATCTATCTCTAGGTATTAAGTACATGTCACTAGAGTAAGCAAGCTAAATGTATAATTATGATAAGCATTTATGGCGTCTCTTTCAAAATTGGCCTCTGGGTTAATCCACAAACCAAATTCAATTGTTGGAAAGTTGTTACATGATACTCAGGTGACCTATAAGGCCCGTGGGCTCTTGTTTCTTTGTTGCAGTACTGACTACTGAGTATGTTGCTTTCCTCTCGATTTATTGTTCTATTGCCTTGACCATGAAATCTTGCGCTTTGTTTGTCTATCGCCTTTATTAAGATAATATCTAATGAGATGTTAGATAAATGGAATTAATGAATGTTTTGTTTTTTAATCAAAAGGTTCCATAAATACTTTATTTCTATTACAGATGAAAAAGACACCCCTAACACGAGCTCCAAAGTCTTGTCCCCAGAAAACGTTTATGTAAATATGTCATACAAATAAAACTGAGAGCTAGGTTTATACGAGAATTTTCGTATTTTTTAAATTCTGAATGATCTCAAATAGTTATTAGGAATGTGATTGCTTGCGCAATAAAGCAAATATTTTTGAAAACTGTTTTATGAGTAATCATAATAGTGAAATAATATGTTGTAATGCATTTTACAAGTAAATGTTATGCTATAATGCAGCATTTTTACCAATAATCAAGCATGTTTATTTCAGTATTTTGTTACATTATTTCTTTTAATTTATGCTTACAATTACTTTGCAGAACCGTCTTATAGTATCCTTAATATTCATTAAACATTTTATAGTTCAAGTAAATCAAAAACGTGAAATTAGTAGAAACGGTTTGTTTTGTTTTCTTCCATTGTTAATTATCCTGTGTTTTGTTTGAATGAATGTCACTTTTAACATCAAGGTGTCTCGATAAATAACCTTAGCTCAAGAGCAAACAATAAACAATCTTGATATTTTTTAATAGAAAAAGCGTTCCCTGCTTTCTTGAAATCGAGAGCTCGACTAATAAATAAGAATATAAATTAGAGTTAAACTTGATAAAGCTCATGCACATTCAAGCGAAGTTCAATTACTGGAAATATAATCTATTTAAAGTAACAGCACTT